GACGTTACAATTTTAGTCAGAGCTTGTGACTCAGTCAGGGCTCTGACTCAGCTAGATTTTACTCGGTTAACAACTATCAAACAACCCTCAAGTCAAGGTTTAAAGATACTAAGAGCTTATCAAAATTTAAATTTTTATTAATGATTTTAGGAGGATGCCAAGAAAGAGAGATATAGTGGATTTTCGGATATGTGATTATAAACTAATACACTAATTTATTAATATGGAGAAACATACCTACCAAAAGTTTTCTATTTGATAATTAAGTAGGGGTTTTTCAAATTTCAAGTAATAAATTTAATATTAATTAAAAAAAATCATATTTTTGGATATCCGAAATGTCTAAAAATCTATAAAATCACTATCTGTATCCAAATCCGAAATTTCGGATATTCAATTTTGGATATCCAAAAATCCGGATATCTGAAATTTCGGTTACTTTCGGATCAAATTTTTGGATTTTTATTTGGACTTTCGGATATTTTTACAAATCACCTCCCTAAATCAATATTCGTTGGGGTCTTAGCGTCTTGGAGTCTTGGAGACCGCAATTAATTTCTGAAGAATCGGTTGACGCTTAGTTTTCTCCAACTTTCACTCCATGGTCGACCTTTATTTCCTTTTGGCTTATGCTTATCCTAAACTATCAAAGACAATTACAATATTGGGCATTAAAATTTAGGGCCCTAATAACTTGGAGATATTGGTTCGGCCTTAAATGTGAGACAGACATGTATAATATATTTATAGCAATCAAAGTCCAATCAAACTTCTTATGATTTCTCTAATAAAAACATGGAAATCATGAATAATATTTTTTCATCAGTCGTTTACTTTTTTTTAGGAGAAAATAATCGTGTTGAATAATACAATTACAAAAGGAAAACCAGTAAGTATTACACAATAAATTACATTACTTTTAAGCACATTTTTATAGCTAATCAATTTATTTTAAACATTTAACCTTCAAACATAAAATATAATATTCATTTACAAGTTATCAAAATTGGCATCTTTTAAAATCAAATGATTTTATAAAATTATGTACTAAATCACTAGGATTTCTTTGGGTAAGATGATGAAAGAACCACACAGAACAGTCAAAATACACGTCAACGTCCAACAAACTTCACTTTGTCATTGTAGAATTGTCATTCTTCAAACGAATCCAATATTTTGAGAGCGAAAGCTCTGAATTTTAATCACCTACATGTAGTAGATTTAAAGAGAAAGTGAAGAGTACGCGTAAATGAATGTCGTCCGTGTATGGAACGAAGGATTCTTGAAAGAACACGCTCTTATCCTCCATCTTCAATTAATGCTTTAACAATCTCCTTTCACTCTCTTCTTTGTTTCCATATTCATTGTATATACTATATTATATACACCTTTTTGTGGCTGCGTTCTTCTCCAATTTGGCCTGTCTGCAAAATGGCTACCGATGAAGAATCATCAGCTGGATTTAGCTTGGAAGGAATTGAAGACGTCGAGGATTTTGTTTTGGTGAGATTTTAGGATTATTCACCCTAAATTGCTTAAATAGCAATTAAATGCTGGGAAAATGTTTCTACTATCATTGATTTCGTATCAACGTAGTTTTATGTGATCTATGTGCAGAAAAGAGACTTGCACTTTACTTTGGCAGACAATGAATTCTACTTTTTGTCTGCAAATTTTTTTTATTGCTAACTATAACAATGTTGATGAAAAATTTGGGGAAATTGATATCGATATAGAAGCGAAGCTCTTTTTGCCCCCAAGGAGGGGATGTAATTCAGTGGTTGAGTTCACTTGCATTTTCTGTGTTTTAGCTTGATAATGGACATCTATGGAAGTTTGAAGTTTTGGTTTATTGCTATCTGAACTTCTAAAGTTTGAATTCAGGGAGATCAAGAAGAGTCTTTAGACACAGGGCGTTCTACTCATCTTCTTGACCTAATGAAAATGGCCAACAAAGCACTCAGAGTGAATCGTTATGAAGAGGTAAGTAATGAAACCATTTGCTTTATACATTCTGTTCTTTTGTTTCTTCCTTTTGAGCCTGAAAGTGAGTTAACAAACTTCCTAGTTCTTAATAACTAATGTTAATCAACCAGGCAGTGAATTATTACTCAAGAGCTCATAATATCAAGCCAGATGATCCTATCATTCTTAGCAACCGATGTGCTGCTTACCTAAAGATTGGCCACTTTCTGAAACACAGACCAGCTGCTGCATCTGAACTTAGACCATTAATTGGGCTTGATCCTACAACCCATGCCAGTGTATGCGAATCATCATCTTTATTTTTTTGAAGCTTTATTGTTTCTGTTTACATTTTTAACCACAAAATCATTTGAATCCATGAACTCTATTCAGCTTGCATTAAAGGATGCCGAGCACTTTATGAACTTACAGAATCACACTGTAATGGCATACATACTGAAGGCAAATGCACTCATTTTGGTAAGAATAAGACCCCAGTTCCTATATCATACCTCTATTCATGACACTCATATTGATCATATGTTTTGGCAGTTAGAAAGATTTGAACAAGCCCGTGATGTAATTCTTACAGGTCTTCAACTCGATGCTTCAAGGTATGTTTCTGCAATATTCTTGTCCACTTTAAGAATTTCATGTTTTTTTTCTTTTCTTGATGCATCACATACTCTCTCTTTCTCTCTAGCAATGCTCTAAAGAAGTTAGAAAAGTTTACAGTCGATATATTTGGGAAAAGAACACATGGTCAGATTCAGACACCACGTACAGATGACTTTGATTGCACTCTTTGCTTCAAGTTATTCTATGATCCAATCACAACTCCATGTGGGCATACCTTTTGTCGTTCATGCCTCTTTCAGTCAATGGACCAGGGTAAGTGCTGTGAGTCATTCTTTCTCTATAACTTCTCTTACAAGTTCACTAATTTTCTTTGGATTTTGAATATCTGTTTCAGGAAACAGATGCCCATTGTGTCGAACAGTTCTGTTTATCAGTCCAAGAACTTGTGCAATAAGGTGAGTTGACTCGGTATAAAAATTTAATATGCCCTTTCTAACCATCTTAAGTAATATACAATCTTTTATTGAGCAGTGTGACACTGAAAAGTATAATAGAGAGGAACTTCCCTGTGGAATATGCAGAAAGGAAATTGGAGAATGAGAGTTTGAGTAAAATGGGTCCTGATTTGTTACCTCTTTTTGTGATGGATGTTGTGCTACCTTGCCAGAAGTTCCACTTAAATATATTTGAAGCCCGTTATAGACTTATGGTGAGTTTTTTTTAATCCATGCTATCAACACATCTGCTTTGAATATATTTCAATTATCTTTATGCTTAAATCACAGGTCAGGAGAATCATGGAAGGAAATCGACGAATGGGAATGGTAGATATTTTGTGTGTTCTTCTTCTGGATCCATTGATAAAAGCGGATTGTTAGAGTCTCGTTAACACTTTTTTTTTTTTGCATATAATGTAGGTTATACTTGACACTAGCACTGGATCTGTAGCTGATTATGCATGTGAAGTGGAAATTACAGAGTATTTTTTTTTAAATCATCAGTCTTTATATCTTTAAGGTTTGTGTTAAGCAGATTTAATAATTAGTAGTAGTAATTTGTTCTGAATCATGCAGTTGTGAGCCACTTCCAGATGGGCGTTTTTTCTTGAAGGTGAGATTAAAATCAAATATCATTTGTTTCATTTCTTGTAACCCTCTTTATGATTGATCTATACTTTAGAAAACTCATGGGTATCATAGAAGATTTTGAAAATGAAGCTCTAACTGTTGTTTTTGATGCTAAAGAGATCAAAAATTTTCAGGTTGAAAGTAGGCGAAGGTGCCACATCCTTCGAAACTGGGATCAAGATGGGTTAGCATCATTCTTATCATATCTTTTTTTTTTTTTCAAGATTTTAAATTTGGTTTTAAAGTTGGTGATTCGTATTTTTTCCCATATATAATGAAGGTATCGTGTTGCTGAGATTGAATGGGTGCATGATTTATCTCCAACTGAAGGGACAAAAGAGAGATCCGATGTAATTATACTTTTTAACTTATAATTTTACCAAATTTGAAGGGTATGATGGGAATATGAGTAAAAAAAAAAAAGTTGTTTTTTGTATATTTTTTGGTGGTTATAGTTGCAGGATATGACAGATGTAATGGCAGAATATGCTCGATCTTGGATAAGGTTAGCTCAAGAAGCAGCACAAGGAGGTAAACTTTTATAAATCCTTTCCATTTTGATGTCTTTTTTCATTACTTGTTTCTCCCTCTCTTATGGTTGTGTTATATGTTGTGATGAAGATCAAATGAGACTCACAGAACTACATAAAGCACAAGGTATGATGCCATCAACAAGGGATCTTGAATCCTTCAGTTTTTGGGTAAGAATCATTATTTAAACTTTTTGTTTATAAAATCATAAAACCCAAATTTTAATCTTTATGAGATATAATCATCTGGATGCAGCTTGCTACTTTATCAAATCGAAGACCACAAGAAAGATTGGACCTCCTTCGCATGAAAGATACAACAGCGGTACATTTCTTAAATTCTTTTTTATCATTTTATAATAAAACATGCCAGCTGTCAAAGTGTCAATTGTCATCATAGTTCCATAGTTAATAATTAGCATTAACTGTTAATTACAGAGGTTAAGGAGGGCATATCAGGACTTGAAAGCAGCAGAACAAGGCTGTGTGTTGCAGTGAAAGTAAACGTCTACTTTTCTTGTTCTTATTTGTTGTTTTGTTGGCGAAGAACAAAGAAAAAAAAATACAATCTTTTTATATATTTTTCATGGTAAAGAAGAGCTTCTTTGAATATCTTGTAAAATCCTACTTTGTCCAAAGGTGAAAATATGATGTTTTTAACCATTTCAGTATTGTATACCGTGAGATCGTTTAAATTTGAGAACAATTTATGTTTACTTTGTCCGAAAGTGAAAATATGTTTATTTCGATAAATGGATCATAGTACATCATACCATTCAAATTTTAAAACATGTATCATTTAATTATCAGAACATAATGACCTACAAAAAAAAAAAAAAAAGAGGATTTCATAATCATTTGTAACAATGAAAACATTGTATTTACAAGCATGAAGCATTATGTACTCAAGATTCTACAAGATGCCACTCTCTAGCTGCAGAATGAAAGCAGCACAGAAGTCCAGAAACACCAATTGAGGACCTGTTATCTTCTGGATGTCCACCAAATAGCTATCCTCTGGAGTCTTGTAAAGCTGTTACATCAATACCAGATTAATTTTCATTTATGTAAACTTACACAAATAAATAACAACAAAAGCTTTTTAGAATTACTTTTTTATACCTGAATTTCAAATTTCACAACATTCGGTGTAATACCAGAAGTAATATAATGGTTCTCATGAGTGATGCTTGAAAGCCATCGACATTTGATGTTATAAAGCCCGATCTTTTTCCAGCAGACATTTAAATCTCTCAGGATTTCAAGAACCCGTGTCATTATCTCACGTGGATTTGCTGGAATCTTCAAAAAACAAAAAAAAAAAAACTTGTGGATCATACTAATCTATCGACTATATATATATATATATATATATATATATATATATATATATATATATATATATATATAATGTAAAAGACATAGTTTTAGTATGGACACCTGCATTCCAACTTGCCATTTTCTTTCACCAGGTAAGTTAGGCCTCACAGAGTTATTTCTAGCAAATCTATTCATTGTAGCCCTGTCTGGTATGTTGTCTAGATGCATAGTAGCAAGATCACCCTCCTGCAACAATTTATACCATTCTACTTTAACTTTCTTTCTTAATAGGACATTACATTTTGTATACTTAATCCCGACATAATGAGTTAAAGGGGTTAAGCCAAAATAATGTAGCTTAATGTATTACGACACTAAACATTTACCTTTTTGCCACTTTTTTTTTCTCCCAACTCTCACGTTAAAAATGATCGAACATTGTGAAATTTGTTTTTTAGAATGCAAGGGTAAAATGGTCATTGAGTCTCATTTAGAATGCTGGTATTTCTTGCGTTTAACCTTTAAAGCTACCCTTTTGCCATTGTCATCATTACAGACACACAGTTCCTTTATTATTATTATTATTATTATTTTTTATAAACAAAAAAACGAAAATGACGCACCAGATTCTCTGCAAGTTCAGCTCCAAGATACCCACCAGCAACACGAGACTGGTTATCAAAGAGCAGATAATACGCAACTGTCGCCTGAATGATACAATACAAATAGTTTTCAGTTATAAAAACAGCCAAAGACATTTTAAAAAAAAAAAAAAAAAAAGAAAGATACATCATCTTGTATCCGGGTTTGAAGTGATTGTATGAGATGTGTCCTTTCAAACCCCATGTTGAGAACTTTTCGAATTATGTCTTCATCAAGCTAACAGGTAAAGTAAAAGAAGCGATTATTATTACAGTTCAATTAAAATGGGAAATGGGATTTATTTATACGTGTTGATTTGATGAAGTGTAAGTGTATGTTATAATAATAATACCTTTTTGAGGTGATCTGTTGCATCAGGGGCAGGAACAGCTAAGTATCGAGGAAGCTGAGCTTTGAACCAAGGATGCTTACGCAGATCAGCAATTGTTATTCGCTTCACTGGATCAACCACCAGCATCCTTGGAATTAAATCCCTTGCTCCTGCTGACAAATGACTCGGAAGGGTATAGATTCCAGACTACAAAAACACACACAACAGATAAATCTAAAATCTAAATATCACCTAACTTTAACCATGAGTACAAATGTTATAACTTTCATGTGATTGTTAACATTAACACAAAGAAAGACTATACCTTTATTTTCTTGAATAAATTGGGAATATTCTCATCATCAAAAGGAAGAGTACCACATAGAAGAGCATACAAGATTACCCCACAGCTCCAAACATCCACCTCAGACCCTGCATAAAGTTTACCCGAAACAACCTGCATGAAAGCCACCCACTTTAGGATCCGATTGTAGCAATTGATATTTTTAATCAAGATTAAAAAACTTCGGATGTGTTTTGGTTTGTGGATCCCACGGAACTGGAATTGGGGATTCCAATGTGTCGTTGGAAACTCCATTCCATTCCATTTCTTTGCCAACCAAACACGTGAAGCAAACTTTATGAGTACCTCAGGAGCAGCATAATTTGGGCTTCCACAACTTGTTTTAAGAAAATGGCCATCTCTCATTATATTACTCAATCCAAAGTCAGCAACCTTAACATTCCCTCTTGAATCCAACAAAATGTTCTCCGGCTTAAGATCCCGGTGAACCACCATATTCCGGTGACAGTATTCCACTCCAGAGATAATCTGTATCAGAGAAAAAGATGTCTCAAATCTCAATGTAACTTTCTCAAAACAAGTAATGTAAATGTCCTTCTCATATGACAAAATGCAACCTAAATAAATTTAAAAACAATTCTTTCTGATACCTGTTGGAAAATTTTGCGAGCTTCATTCTCATGAAGTCTCCCTTTCTCTACAATATAATCGAATAGCTCACCGGATTTCACATACTCCATAACAACATATATATCAAGGGGGGTTTCTATCACTTCATAAAGTCTTATAATATGTGGGTGTACAAATAACCTACAAATCTTGATTTCTCGTCTTACTGTATAGGAAATCACATATAAAAGAACAAGTTTCAGAAAAAAATTAAAAAAATTAAAAAGATAAGCAATGTATGGTTTCATACCTTTCTCTTCCATTTCAGGGTTCTTAAGTTTGCGGCGGTTTAGAATCTTGACTGCTACCTTGTAGCCGGTCAACACATGTTCAGCAATTTTGACTTTTCCAAATGATCCATGACCAAGAGTTTTCCCTAGTTTGTAATTACGTAATAGTGTCTCAATGCTTCCACCTCCCCTGTTTGTTCTATCCATATTTCTGCCATTCACATGAGATGATTAGTTGTAAGTTGTAAGTTGTAACTACTACAAAGTACAAAGTGGTAAAATGGTCAGATTTTCATAGGACATCTATAATAGAAATTGTTCTTTATACAAGTTTCTTGGAAAACCATCACAAAAAGAAGATCCAAAGCAAAATAGAACTCGGATTTAAATACCTGCGAACTCTTCATACAAGGTCCCCAAAGTTGACCTCAAATTAAACAGGTTCAAGATACAAGGTACACCATTTCAAACATGAAGTACTGATAAAATTCGGGGAAAATGAAAATAAACAAAAACCAATAGGCAAGAACCGATTAATTGCATTTGGATCCTATTCTCGGGTTTTTGGTCAATTTTTTTTATCCTGATTAGCGTAGCGTTCTTTCACAAGCCAAAGAGATTTAAATCAGTTACTCTGATTAAACCCTACCAAGAGCAAACTGATCGACAGAAACTAATTTAAACCAGAAAACGATCCACGGAATCGAATCAGATTGAAGTAGAAGGCGAACAATAATAAGTAGCTCATAAACGATTTCTGAAATGAAAGAAAACATGATTTTTAAAATCGCAATACCTTTGCGAGGAGGAGATCACATCCGAGGAACAGTTGTTGGTGTAATTCACGGAACTTTTAGAAGCAGGAGATTGATAATGAAGTTTAATCCTCAAGATTGATTTACTTTCAACTCTGAGTCAGCATAGACGAAGCCACAAAGGGATATGCATACGCCGTGATCCAGATTTTCTAGTATACCCCCTTGATTTTACATGTAAAAACAATCTATACCCTCACTTTTAATTATGCCAATTCACTCCCTAATTTTCTTATTCTTGTAAAAATCTCATTGACAAAGACCGTTCTATCCTATATAAAATACACAAAAATGAAAAAATAATCAATATGGTATGCATTTTTTTAAGGTTTGGTTCAAATCTCGACTGTTTTAAATAGTTGGTCATTCTGAGCTAGTTTTATTGTGTATTTGGTCTCTTTGAATATTGAAATAATTATAATACTCTTGGGGTATTTATTTTTTATTTTTCTTTCATTTCTTAAGAGAAATTAAACTTCCTATATTTTGTCTCTTTGAATATTGAAATAACTGAAATACTTGGGATATTTATTTTCTATTTTTCTTTTATTTCTTAATAGAAATTAAATATTTTTTTTATATTTTATTTCTATTTATCATCCTACCATATCAAATATTAATATGTATCATATTTAATGACACATTTAATGATATTGATAATATTTTGATCCACTTATCATTATTTAATGTGGATAGGAAGATAATAGGAAGAAAATATAGGAGAATATTGAATTTCTCTTATTTTTAAATCTAATATTTATTTCTTTATTTTAATAATTAAAAAAATAAAAGAAGCATCTCTCTCTCTCTCTCTCTCTCTCTCTCTCCATAAAAAAAACACACACAATTCTCCTAACTCCTATCTCCTTCCTTCTTCCACCTTCGTCCATTTTCTATTTTTCTTTTTAAAGACCTTGTTCCAACAAAAAGAAACATCAAAACCATCATCGCCATTGTTGTGCACCTACCTATTCCTACAATCTGACCACCACCTCTTTACGAAACCCTAGTGCCAGAGAAGAAGGAATGTACATGTAACATTCCGAAATTCAGGTACATCCATTTAACCCTTATTCTTTACCAAGTGGTCAAGTTTAGCCCTTGAGTAAAAAATGTTACAAATGAGTACGCTAGGATTGTACACGAAACCCTAGGCGTACTCATGCGCTTATATTGGACGCGGATTCGATTAGGTACATTGGGCGTACCAAAGTTACGTTGGGCGTAACTGGCTTAGATGTAAAACCCTAAGTGAGACTTGAGGACTATAAAAGGAATGATAAGGCCCTTACCACAGCCACCATATTACAGTGAGTGAAACCCTAAGAGAGCAAAAACCCGTTATAAGCTTGTGTGTGTGTTCTTAAGCTTGAAAGTGCCATTTTGTGGTGGTGAAGGAGAAGAGGAGGCCATTGTGGGAGATAGAAGTTGGAGGACAAGCTTAGATCCGAGTTCTACAGAGGTTGGAGCTTCATTTGGAGGTAAAAAGCTCACAGCTTTCATTGCCATTGTTGATTTGTGCTTTATAGACCCATTTTTAGGGTTTTTGGTTCCAAGGTGGAGACTTTATGAGCAAAGGGTCTCCATAAGCTTAGATCTGCCCTATTCCAGTGTACTATGTGTTGTAGGCTCATAAAAATCTAATCTTGGACGTGAATATTAAGTCATGCATGAGATATAGACTTAATAAGGAAAGAGGAAAGGTGTTTAGAGTGATTGGAGACCTTTACAGTCATGCAAAGGCTTAAAGGTTTCGACTTTATGGATTAAGTGGCTTTAGAATAGTCAGATTTGGAATTTGAGCTTATGTCTTAACTGTTTAAGACCAAAAATCAATTAGAGCATGAAACTGAGACTTATGTTGGGTGTAAATCTCAGAACGCTCTGCATAAGGGTTTGAGATCCCGATTTTGGATCGTTGGAGTACGCCCAACGTACAAGAGCTGGTACGCGCCGCGTACTGCCCTTTATTGACTTTCGTTGACTTTTAGGGTTGGTCAACAATTGGACTATTGAAGGGGTAAAATGGTCTTTCCCCCTTCTGAGAGATTATAGAAAGGGTTTAGTCTAGCTTTTGAGAATCGTGGTTAATTAGAGGTAAAATACTTTATGTGATTAGGTGGAGGCTAGATCAGCATTTCGAGTTAGAGACTTTCCGAGATTTCCAAGGTGAGCCTTCTCACTATACGTTACCTAGAGTGGTAATTAGAGTTATGTGATAGAGTATCTTGTATGCTTTTTGTATGATGTGATTTTTATGTGATTTGTGCTATGTATGATTCAGAGTTTACAGAGTTAGGACCGGAAGGTCCACAGAGTTAGGACCAGAGGGTCCACAGAGTTATGAGACTGGAGGGTCCCATTGAGACACATTGACCAGAGGGTCATATAGAGTTATAGCCTCGAGTGGCTAATATGTGTTGTGTGTGGTATTTTGGGGAACTCACTAAACATTTATGCTATCCCAAGATCACTAAACATTTATGCTTACAATTTTAGGTACCAACGAGGATCGCGAGAAGGCGCCGACATGATCCGTACACACTGACAGAGGATTGTATTTTGTGATCTTGGGATATGTTTTATTATGATGACATCTGTTGAACATGAGATTTGAGAATATTAAATGAGTTTTATGTTGTTTGAAAAATGAAAAAAAATGTTTTAAAATTTTGCGTGGTTACAGTACATCGACACCGGAGAAAAAGGATCATCGTTGTAAATCCTAGGTCATCCCTTTCTCAGATATTACATTATCGGAGAAGAAGGTTTTTTTTGACGACGACATATCTGCTCGATCTTCGTCTCCGACCGTGTCTCTTCTTTCTTTCTTATTTTATCTCGACTGGTGAGCGACGGTGGTGCACCGACGAAGGAGTCGGGTTGGCGAATGGTTTCTGGTCGTCCAGCGGATGAGCACCAGTGGAAGGAAGTTGCAATGAATTTTAAATTTTCAGTTAGGTGAAATTTTTTATGTTATAGTTTACAAAAATCACTGTGTTTGTGTGTGTGTTTTCATTTATGGAATTCGATTTGTGTTAGGGTGTTCATCCCCATAAAGTGATTTATATATTGGTGTTCCAAAAAAATTCAAAAAAAGATTATGCATTCCAGATAAAAGGGTAAACAAGAAAGAAAGTTGGTGAGCTGGTGGTCATCGGATTTAATTGTAGTCACTTCTTCCAATAATGTATGTATGTGTTCTTGAGTTTTGACAAGTAAATCAGAAATATAGGGGAGGGAGAGAGAGAGAGAGAGAGAGAGAGAGAGAGAGAGAGAGAGAGAGAGAGACTTTTATTTTTTAATTAATTAAATAAATAAATAAGTATTAGATTTAAAAAATATAAGAAAAATAGAAAATAAATATCCAAGGGTATTAAAGTCATTTCAGTTTACAAATGAATCAAATCCGCAACGAAACTAACTCAAAATGAATACTATAAGAACCATTTTTGCAGTTTTGTATACCAACTAAAACTAAGAGCTAAAGAGCCCTTTTTTTTTACCAACAATAAGTCCACGGACTTTAGTGAAAAAGTTAAGGACAGTTTAAACAGTTCACATGTTGTTATCTGAAAGGACAGTTTAAGCAATTCACATATTATCTGAAAGGAGTAGGGATGAGCATTTGGATCGGGGAACCGGCCGGAACTGAAACCGAATAGAACCGATCGGGCCGGGATCGGGACGATATTTTTGTTGATTTTTGGAACCGGTAGAAACCAGTAAAAACCGGAACCGTATGTTGCTATTTCTTGAGGACCGGTTCCAACATTTAAGACACGGCAAGAACCGATAGGAACCGGCGGTCTGTTTCGGTTCTTAATTTCGGCTGACTTCGGTTCCTGAACAGGGTCCGGTTCGGACCGGTTCCGTTGCTCATCCCTAGAAAGAAGTTGTATTTTTGGTATAAATAGAAATCAAAGCTAACCGAAATAAAAATATAAAGGTCCCATTCTAGTTTTTTGTTTCCAACTTTCAACTTTTCAGTTTAAATTCTCCCTTTTTTGTTTTCTCTGTACCCTAGTCCCATTAACGAGAAAAAAATAGGTCCCATTAAGGAGAATAAAAGTTGAGTAGTACTTGCTTTAACAAGGCATAAAGTTATGTTGATATACACGAATAACATTTTGTTTATGTAAAGTAATAATATTAATGTAAAAAAATGAAAATTATCCAAGAAATAAATAATGAAGTAAAAAAAAATTCCTCATTTTGAATCGCCTATAATGTATACAAAAAAATTACACTCAAATAGCCTATATATATATTTTTGTTCTCGCTCTTCTACTCCTAGTTTTATATACAACAAATTTTGGTTTGGTTTCCCAATAATAAAAATTCTAACCTAGCTACATGGGGAACCAAAGCAAGAAATAATTTGTGTTGTGTTATGATACCGAGATGAATAAATAAATGAATAAGTTAGCTTGTGAACTGTGGTTAGGTTAGAAATCTATCTATCTGTACATGGTTATGGTTATGGTTATGGTTATGGTTATGGTTATGCTATTATACACCACCGATCCACCCGACTCCATGAGATGCCAAGTGTAAAGCCCAGATGTTGTTTCATTGTATCATTCCCGAGAACACAGACTCCCCATCACCATGGTTGTGTTATGGTTTCATGGTCTGCATCCTTCAATAGTGAAAATCATTCACCTTCACCTTCACCTTGCTCTGTGAATATGTGTGTGTATTTACACCAGAGCTGTGTGTGCAAGCCAAGCCACCTCAAGGACTCCGAGCCCTGTTTGTTTCATTTCAATAACAATTCCTTTTGGATCTTCTGTTGGCATTTACTTGGCTTGCAGTAGATTCTTCATTGACCACATGCTTTTTTGCTTGATCTTATGAAGAATAAAATCCATGAATATATATATATACTTTTTTTTTTCATGGATTTCTTTTTTTAAAAAAAAGTAAAAATTTGAATGCTTCCCTACTTGTCACCACCCTTCTTTGTTAAATTAATACCCTTTGCTTTCTCCATTTCCACCTCCTTCTCTGCTTTCTTTTTCTCAAGTTCCGCCTGTTTCACGTTCTCATCATGACATTTTCGGAAGAGCCTCACAAAGTTTAAAAGGGTCTGAGTAGCTGCACAATCACAATCACAACCCCAAACCAATAAATCAACAACTATCTTCATCTTATTCTCTAAATAATCTTTATGAATTAGTTAGTTACTTGGCTTTTAGTGACATTATTGATCCCTCTCTGGATTAAGTATATACCTTGTTCAAAAGGGCAACGAGCAGGGTCTTCACCAAAATACAAGGCCAATGCATCAGCGTTTTTACCCTGTATGTAACATTTAATAAAATAATCCAAAAAGAAAAGAAAAGAAAAGGTGGTGGATTCAGCCGTTCATTTACCACAATGGAATAGAAATTTGTTACACTTGTCACTTCCGCTTCAGATTGCCCAATGAACTCCTTCAATGTCTAAACGCCACAAAAGCCTTCATCAGAATTTATAATCTTTTATAGATTTAAATTTAATGTTTTTATTAGTTGTCCTACCCTATGAAAACCTTCAGACACCGGGCCATCATTTGCCGATGCAGCTAGTTCCTGTTTGACTTTTTCTAGCCCTTTCAGAATGGCTTGCATTTCTTCTGCTAAAACTTTGAGTTGTATCTGTGCAAATTAAAAAGCTTTCCATTGGTTTTATTATATACTAGTGATAAACCTGTGCAATTAAAACAGATTAAAAAATCAAAAAGTCAAACCTTGGTTGCAGCTTCTAGGCTAACAAGATCCTCATGGAAATCTAAAAGGCTTGGGGATTTGGAGGCAAGAACCTGTACACAAATGTTAATGATTAATAATTTTAACAAATTAAAGATGTCACATTTTGTATTGAGTAGTTTAGTAGGTACCTTGCAGAGATAATGCATTAAAGTCATCTTGCTAGTTGAAGATCGTGTATCAGTCAGTTTCAAAAGACTATCCAACTTGAATCCAACAGCAGCACCTGTAAATTTTGGATATTAACATCAATAAAAAAAATCTTATTTATTTATGTAATGATGTTGTTACCTCTAGCAGTTCCTTGATTTAATGTGTTCCCCAAATATAAAATTCTCTTCATGATTTCTTTCAACTTTGTGGACTTCCGCACCTCATCACATGCAGAGTTTACTGTGTTTAGACTCTTTTTGAATTCTGTAAGCTGAAACAAAATCCCAACTCAAATATAATCAAAATCAATCACTCCAAAATATTACATTAACAAATAACAATTACAAGCTAAGGAAACACAAACCTGAACGTTAAATTGAATTTTGAACATAAAAACATTTAATTTGGCCTCCATACGTGGCACCTTCATTAGCTCCAAGAAATACTGCAGTAAAATTTCATTTTCATAAGATAAATTCTTGAAAGATATGAAATACAAAGTTATAGTGGGTTGATACTGACCTGTTCACACTTGCCAAGTGTCTCATAGTCACCTGTGAAATTCTGAACAATCACACAATGCAAAAGAAGATCAATACAAGTACAAGTATTTTTACATAAGAATATTATCTACAAAGAATACCAAGTAAATGCTTCTTCACCTTGAGTTGCTCCATCTCTTCTTTGGTGGGACAGAATTTGAGACAATTTTCTACTTGATCCGAATCTACAAGTTCTTCATCCATAGCTAACATTGCCTTCTGCAGATGAGGGATAAAGTTGTCATTACATTACATTAGTCTGACTGAAAAGGGAACACAAGTCAATTAACTAGAGGACACACACTTACCACCATATCAGGAAGTGGCATCTTAACTTTAGTAAGCATGATTTCTGTGTTATTGGCCCTCCTCAGATCAATCTACAGTAATTGAGAATGCAACCATGAAAACTGAAGGACCATCTAAAACTAAAAGACACATAAAAAGAAAGTAAAAGGTGATTGATTAGGTAGGTGCTCAATTCAATTTACATTACCAAGTGGATTTTTTCAGGTTTTGAACTTGCAGCCTTTTTCTTGTCGGCTTCTTTAGAAGTAGCTTTCTTTGGGACTATGGCAGAGAAGAGTGTCTCAAGTTCTGATACATCAAATTCTGGCACACTGGAATAGAATAATACAAAGGAAGGTGAATTAATGAGATGAGTGTGTGTGTGTGAAGTGAAACACAATTACACAAAAGGAGAATTAGAAAGCTTACCTTTGTGGCTCTCCATGTCTTTGCAATTCTTCCCACAAGCTTCCTTGTAATGCCCTCGTTACTTTGTTCCAATGCAATGGCTTTAAGTTAGATCTTCGTGCTCCAGGTCCTCCACGTCCTCGTCCTCTACCTGGTCCCATACCTCGTCCTCCTCCAGGTGGAGGTGGAGGCCCACCAGGAGGTCCAGGTGCTCCAGGTGGTGGAGGAGGTCCAGGTGCTCCAGGCGGCGGTGGAGGTCCAGGAGGTCCACGTCCTCCTCCGGGTGGCGGTGGAGGTGGAGGTGCTCCTCCAGGTGGCGGTGGAGGCGGAGGTGCTCCTCCAGGTAATGGAGGTGGTGGAGGTGCTCCAAAACCACCTGGTGGAGGTGGTGGTGGTGGTGCTCCGCCATACATTGGTGGAGGTGGTGGTGGTGGTGCTCCGCCATACATTGGTGGAGGTGGTGGTGGTGGTGCTACGCCATACATTGGTGGAGGTGGTGGTGGTGGTGCTCCACCATACATCGGTGGAGGTGGAGGTGGTGCTGGTGCTCCACCATACATTGGCGGAGGTGGTGGAGGAGGTGCTGCTGCTGCTCCACCGTACATTGGCGGAGGTGGTGGTGCTGGTGCTGGTGCTCCATACATCGGTGGAGGAGGTGGTGGTGGTGGTGCTCCATACATCGGTGGACCACCGCCAGGCAACGGAGGAGGAGGAGGTGGTGCAGGGACCGGGGGTGGAGGAGGCAGTGTTCTACCCGGCGGAGCTTGAGGGGGAACTTCAATCATGGGGGGTGGTGGTGGAGGTGGTGCAGCATATGGAACTACATGGCTTATTGGTGGAGGAGGAGTCCGAGGCGGCGCTGATGGAGCAACTTGTGAGGAAGGTGAAGGTGCTGATACTTGTGTCGTAGGAGCATCATACACGGGAGGTGTAGGGGGTGCAGGTGCAGGTTTTGGTAGAGCAACTTGTACCAGAGGTTTAGATGGAGCTTCATGAAGAGGTGGAGATACAGGAGCCACCGGTTGTTGAGGTTTTAGGTTATCCTTGGGTGGAACAACCACACCAGCTTGTACAGGTTTTTCAATTTTAGAAACACCAGCTGCTGATTCAGTCGGACGAACCCCATGGACTACCGGTGGTGGCTGTGGAAGACTGATCTGACTTGTAGCTTTCGCTGTTGACGTTTCAGGCTCAATGGAACTCGAAGGTGGAGGTGCCACCGCCGCTGCCGGTGATGGAGTGGCATGGTTATGGGGTTGGGCTTGGGCCTGAACCTGGGAATGGGCCGGACCCGCATCTGATTTTAAATTGTTTAAAGATTTTGGCAAGTCAAGCGATCCATCAGAAGGTCGGCAAGCACCTGCTGCAACTTTAACTCGTTCAACATCCAACGATGGCGGACACGAAGCTTGTTTCCCTGATGCACGCCCTCCCTTTCCAACCACCTTCTTCTCCACCAATCTAGGATCCTTCGATTGGGCTAGCACAGGAGGTGCACTTACATGTCTCGATGCTGTTGGTGGATAATATATATGCATTGAATTCGTATAAGATCCTTTATTAGAAGGAATCCATTTAGACAGAGCATCTGGTTTCGCCTGTCTTACATTTATCCCTGTTTTTGAGTTCGCCGTACTTTTCCGGCCACCCGCCTTTCCCTGCAAATCCTCCACCCTCTTCACCTCCTGATTCTCTTCTTCTACACCCTCCGATTTTACTTCCATCTTATCAGATTCGTCACCAATCACCACTTTACCTTTCAAATCCACATCCTCCACCGCCACCGCCGTAGCCTTCAAATCAACGCCTTCTGCTACCATAGGCTTCGAATCAACTTCTTTCAATACTACTGTAGATTTCAAGTCAACGTCGTTGACCGACTGGATACCAGGATGAACCTCCTCACTTTCGACATCCGGTTCATTTTCTTCCGGGAAAAAAGGTTCCTCTTTAAAGTCATGATGTGAGTCGAATGCATCGAATAGTTCTTCTACCTCAAAGAACTCATCAGCTGAATTACTTCCTTCCGACTCATTCTCATCTTCTGCAACTCCTGCTGTGGGGATAATAGATGGTAGATGATCAGCATCCACAAAAAGTACCTGATGATACAGATATATATGAGTATGCATTTTGTTTAACTTCTACCAAACTTGTTAAAATAAACAAAAATTCCAGATAAAAAAAAAAGTCAACGGCCGGCGGCCTACCTCCGCCTTGAAGTCCTTTGGCAACTGGTCGCGTGCATCCCACATATGGTCAACTTCATCATGTCCTACCATCAATACATATCCTCTAACAAAAGCTGTATGGAACACAACCCTAAACATCATCTCCTCCTTTACATGATCATCATCCAAATGTATGCATTCAAGAACGACATCCCCGTTTACACGGTAATGAATATCTATCTTTGCCAGTTGGCATTCATCCTGCAAAATTTCATCTATAAGATTCTATCTATGTCACAGAAAAACTTGTAGTATTTACTTGGGCTTTCATAAGTTTACCTTTCTATACATACGAACATGTCTCTTGGTTTTTGAGGTTGAAAACAAAAGCTTACAGCTTTTAACCGATGAAAATGGATCTTGACCATATACACGGATTATAGGTCTACAACCCTTTCCACCAATTACAGGAAGAACACGAAGTATGATACAATCCAAAGCTAGAGGTGCATCTAATGGTGGCCATTCAAGCCCTAAATTTCTCTTTGTAATGTACTGAAGGTACCTTAATTGTGAAGGCTGAGGGTTCAAAGGGGACAAAAGATAAAGAAGCTCACGAGGGGCTTGTTTATACACCATTTCAAGAGTCTTCTGTTCACCGGTGTACTGTTTTCTGAACAAAAGAAGCCCAGCAAGTAAAAAAGCAAGAACAGGCCACCCGCCTCTTTCACAGTGCATTAAAAGCACGTTTCTGTTTCCTGCAAGTGATAGCCAGTTCTCACTGGATTTTAAACATTCATTCATCATCTCTAATGGTAACATCGGACACCCTTCACATTGCCATGGGTACTCCGTGATTTTCATCTCATATGTAGATAAGACATCAGAAAGTTGGGTCTTTTTGTCACCACCTTCTTTAAAGTTGAAAACCATGAAGGCGGATTCAGGGTAATAGTCTTGGAGTTGAGTTACAATGCCCCCCATGTAGGTCTTGTATATATCTTCTTCCATTACATCAGTCGAGAAGCAGCAATCGAAAACTGTAAACAAAAAAGAAAAAGAAAAAACACGGTTGGTAGCTGAATTGGTAGCTGAACTAAGGAATTGGCAAATGCAGCTTCGTAAATCCAATCAAGGAATAAAAAACGAAATATAAATTATGATCATGCATGAGCTTAAAACTTGAATTTGAGAATTGAGGAGGTTGATTGCTTTTATGAATTAGAAAATTGAGGGAGAATTGGACGTGAAATGTGTAGCGTACGTACCGAAAACCCTCTCGGTGATCTCAAGGAGGCGATCCGGCGGCTTACGATAAAAGAAGCGTCTGAACAGCGCCATTGAATGGCGCTGTTACCCTCCCGACCGGATCCCAAATGTTGATTCCCTATATCCCCAATTTCGCCTGTTCAGAAATGTTGACCATGTCATGTAGAAACCGATCTTGAAATCCTCCAATTTTCGTCGAATTAGACGACAAAACAATAATATGAATGTGATCACGGAAAGCTTTCATTCACCAATTCAATTGAAAAGACCACCCACAAAATAAGGGTTTTTATTGTGTCTAGGTGAGGTATTATGATTATGATAAATGCACGTAATTCAGGTTATGGAGAGAATTTAAGAAATTAATGTGTTTAGTGACAGCAAGATTGATAGGGTTTTCTGAGAAATCATGGGCACGATAATGACGATCGAAGCAATTGCATACAACTATGAATTGATTATATGGAATTCGATGATTAGGGAAATCTATCAAGTGAGGGGAGTGAGGAAAATTGCAATTGATTCTGGGAATTTCGTCACTGCAATTGAAATTTTTTTGATTTCTGTTGGACGTAACACAAAGGAGATTATGGGGGATGAAAGGGGGAAGGAAGAACAGTGACCAGCTTTTTCGATTATTGTATTTAGTTCGTTCTTCGTAAATTATTAAGAAAAACAACATAAGATTAATTAATTTAAGTTCAACAATATAAACACAAAAATAATACGTAGTAAATGCTTTTATGATCTCTCGTAATTTTCTATATTCTTTGTTAATTTACAAAGAATAAAATATAATATTATTTATTGTACTGCATAAGAGTGGCATGACACGTTCTAAACGTTTTAAGTTATTTAATACTTTTATATTTGTGGTCCCAATATTCTAATCATATGTTTTAAACGAATTTCACTAAGTTAGATATATTTACATGGATCAAAATGTTTTAAATTATTATTTATACGTATATTTGATTTATGTTTTACTTAACTCATAAAGTCCAACATTCGTTTCATCGTCACGTATATTCCAAAGTTGTCGCGATTATAAATAATGTTGTTTGACATATGTTTTGAAAATATATATTTTATGATACTCTTGAATTTAATTTAGGTTGATCCGTAATTTGAAAGTGATTTCAAAGTTTTTATTTGACGTATGATAGAGAGAAAAATACTCGAATATAACATTCTTCAATCATAAAAATTAATCTTTACAAACTTTATGATCCTTGTAGAAATGGGTAAAATTGAATTGAAATATGTATGTATTAGAAGTAAGGGTGTTATGATCGAAATCTTACATAATATCGTTTTATGTTTTTCAAAATTGTGATTGGGATCAAAATATCCTATAAAATGAATTCATATATCAAATTTGCTCGCAAAGTCATCAGTGTGAATAAGTTGATGTTGATTAAGAAAGATTAGTATAATGGAATCAACTTTAACTAAGTAGCCATCTTAGGTATGTTATGCCTAATTCGAGATGAATTAAAAAAAATCATAAATGGATTCTTGCGAGTGGAATCAACTTTAATTTTTGCTATTGGCTCTTATGAGTGGAATCAACTTTAATTCTTATGAGTGGAATCAATTTAAAAGAAGACATCTTAATTTAAAAAATCATAAATTGATTCTTATAAATATGTTAAGCTTAATTCGAGATGAATTGATAATAATGATGATGCTCTACAAGACTTTTGCAATTTGTGATGCTCGATTTCAAATTAAATAGATGAATTTTAAGACTTGACTATATAATAAAACCAATGAGGTAAAATTGGATCATAATGTGATCGGGATCATTTTTAATTTATAGGATCTTAAAATCATAAGATCTTAAGATTAAAATCGAAATCTTAACAACCATGATTAAAAGTATAGTAACATTTAGCCCTAAAACATGTTTTGTCTATTAAAATATTTTTGACGCCTAACGGCTAACGCTATTAATTGGCCTTATCTAATTTACAAATATGGACAAGTGGTCTTATTTGATCGATAGTTTCTTTAAGGGTTGTGTAACGTCCCGATTCTCGAATACCCATTTAGGGTTATAAGTTCTAATGAGTTTAAGGTCTACTCGACAAGTTGGTTGCTTGACTCGTCGAATAGCAGCGGGTTTGGGCCACATGTTTAAGTGACCAACTCGTCGAGTCGGAAGAGTGACTCGACGAGCTGGAGTTGGAGGGTGAAACCCTAATTTCCGGGGTTTAACACCCTATTTAAGGGACCATTAGCCTCCCTTAGTTCCTTTGCAGCCTCTTGAGAGTCCAAAAACCCTAATTCGTGTGAGTGTGCTCCATTTGTGTGTTTTAAAGCTTTGGAAGGTGTATCTTTGTAAGAAGAACTTGAAGAGCAAGTGACTAGGAGCAAAGGACTTGTGGGGATCTGATATCTACCTCAGATGGTATCTTTTGGAAGGTATCAAGTCGTTACCTTGACCTCATTTCATTTTAGATCTCATTTGGTTTAAGTTTTGGGCTTTTCTAGCATATTGTGAAGCTATTTTGGGTATGAGCTCAAATATGAAGTTGTAACTTCAGATTTGAACTCTCTTTGGTCTCTAAATCCATAAAGTTATAAGCTTTTGCAAGAATGAACCCCTCCTTAAGTGTAAAACCCCATTTCAAGCTTGGTTTTGGTATTTTGAGTCATTAGAGCCTTGCATGCACGTAAAGTTTGCAACTTTACGTGATAAGCATGCCTTGGGAAGTTGGATCTGCAGTATGGAGCCTTAGCATGGCTTAAAAAGTATCTGTTTGGATGAAGGGTTGAAGGGACTCGGCGAGTCTCATAGTAGACTCGGCGAGTCATATGAAGATGGTTATTGACTTGACGAGTTGGATGAACAACCCAGCGAGTCAGATGAAGATTGTCGTAGACTCGGCGAGTCAGTAGAGTGACTTAGCGAGTCGGGCAAGATTCTTACCAACCGTTGGATGCGTGTGAACTTGTCGAGTTGTAGGGGGGAACTCGACGAGTGGTCAAGGGGTTTCGACCGCGAGCCTTAGGAACTCGGCGAGTCATTCTGGTGACTCAGCGAGCAGATGAGTTATGCCGGGAACTCGGTGAGTGGCTGGATACACTCGACGAGTTCAGGTCAACATGGGTTGTTGACTTTGACCGTTGACTTTGACTTTGACCAAGGATGACTTTTGGACTTCTGGGGCATTTTGGGAAATTGGAAATTTATGGATATGGTTCTTTGGTGAATATAAGTGGTGAAGTTTGTGGCAGTGATCCAAGAGATTATCTCTTCAATGTGTCAGTTGTGAGGTGAGTTATCCTCACTATACTCAAGGTTCTAAGGCACCAAGGCTGACCCTTTGGATTGTTATCTGGTTATGTGATGCTAGTATGATTTGTTAGACCGATATCCTAGAGGGTAGGATAATATTGTATGATATGTGATATGATCTGTTAGATCGGAATCCTGGTAGATAGGATGTTGTCATGTGCTATGTGGTATGATCTGTTAGATCAAGTATTGTCTATAGACTGTTATGTGATTATCTGTTATATGTGCACATATTTGCTTGGCGGTTGAGGTTCATCTGCTTTGTGAGGAGGCCAATAGACATGGGCATTCTAACCTGTAGGTTGTGGGCCATGAGTATTCTATCCCGATGATGATTGGACCCATAGTATGTTGGCATTCCAACCGGATGGTTGAGGGCCTGTGGTATTCCATCCTGAGGATGATTGGACCCATAGTATGTTGGCATTCCAACCGGATGGTTGAGGGCCTGGGGTATTCCAACCCGATGGTTGACTGGACACATAGTATGTTGTTTATGATTATATGTGTATTGTTGTGGTATGGGTATTTTGGGGGAATTCACTAAGCTTTCGGGCTTACAATTTCAGTTTATTGTTTCAGGTACATCAGGGGATCGCGGTAAGGCGAAGGCGTGACCATATACTTCCTCGATTGACGATTATGATTTTTGGCTACTCTGATGTATAAACTATTTTGAAAACAAATTGTAATAATTTAATGGTTTCAAATGATTTAAAAAGTTTTATATTGGCTCGAATTTTATGGGTGTTACAAGTTGGTATCAGAGCCTTGGTTTGAGTGAATTGGAGGAACACTCGTGTGAATCCAGTCTCAAATCAAGGAAAGATTTTCAAAATGATTTTAAATGGTTTTCAAAATAAGTAAAAGAGGATGCGAAGTGTACGATCAGCCGGAGCCAGTAAGTAGACCCCAAAATACCCTACGGTTATTTGATATTGTGATATGTTAGAACAACATGCTAGTACTAGGCTAGGGATCTTCAGGAATTGCAAGATAGAATTGCCTGATTACAGGATGCCTACTAGCCTAGGGTTTCCTTTATATGACATTGGCATCATTACTGTAGTTGTTTAGTGTATGCATCACGGTTATACATAACTAAGATCTTATAGCCTAAGAATGTTTGATTTGGCCTTATGTTTTGTTCTTGTCTGATTGGGGGGCTTAGGGTAGGGTTAGATATTCGAAAGTCTATAAGGTCTAGCATTATGTATGGCTAGCATACACTAGGGCTACAGGGTTGGTGGAAATTTCATGGATGAATGGTTTGCGTGGGACCGGTAGGTCAGTTATGAGATATTTAGCTTTCCTCTAGCCTGAGAATGTTTGATTTGGCCTTATGTTCTATTCTTGTCTGATTGGGGGATTAAAGTATGTTTGGATATTCGAAAGTCTATAGGGTCTAGCGTTATGTATGGCTAGCATACATTAGGGCTACAGGGTTAGTGGAAGTTTCATGGATGAATGGATTAAGTGGGATCGGTACGTTAGTTATGAGATATTTAGCTTTCCTCTAGGAGTGAGGATTTAGCGCTCGCTATGTCTATGTATATTGTTAGGGTGTTGTGGTGATACTTGAGACAAATATGGGTAGGTGTGGAAGGTAGTATGGTCCCGTACTACTGAAAGCACAGGACCCATACGCGTAGCAAGGAAGTCACAACCCCTAGGGTTTAGTTGGAAGTTGGTTCTATGTTATGGTATGGGTTATCGAGACGTTTTGAGACCGGATCCAGATCAAAATCGAGAGCTGGCAGCCAGGATAGGCCAGTATTGTCAGGAGATCGTGTCAAGGAGATCATACAGGAGTAGGTGATCGAGATCGTTCAGGGACAAATTCCGGAGATTGATTGGGTCTTTCAACACTGTCATGGTTGAGTATTTTGTTGAGCGTTGTGACATCCCCAATTTCACGGTCAGAAAAGATCGATTTGTTTATGCTTTGTTTTTAAAATTAGAGTAATCGTTTTAAGAAAACTGATGCGAAATTTGTTCCCAAAACAAAATATGTAACGCCCGCAGATCCGGGCTAGTCAATTTAGAGCCAATAGGGGTCAAAAATGACTTTTCGACAAAAGATTATTTAGAATGAATAGTCTTAACCAAGTTTTATAATATGTCACAAGG